TGGTAGAATGTTGACGTACTTGCAAAGTTACTTATAGTCAGTTTGTCTGTTGGGGAACCATCAAAATAATCAAACTGATATTACATTAAAAATAGTTCAACGCAAATATGTTTTATTACACATTCATCTGATCTGATGTCTGATCTTATGGATGTTTGAGGAAAAAAATATTATTATGATTATTATTATTATTACTAATAGGTGGTCTTTGATTGCTTCAAGTAAAGCAGCATAAGAAAGATGGCAAGATATGAGACTTAATACATTATAACTATGAGAAATATAGTCCATTGTAACTTAAGTGGATGCAACATGTTCACTGTGTTATAAATCATCATACTCTTAAGTAAATATTATAATACATTAAAACTGTTCTTATGAATGTACATAAGATGATATAACATATTATAAGGTTTTTTTTTTATAATGCATTATGCATTCATTATAATGCCTTAAGAATACCCTTATAATGTATTATAAATATGGGCTTCATAGAAAGTGTTACCGTGATTTTTATTTATTTTTTTCTCTCTCAGAGCTTTAGATTTATATGCGTGAATAGCAGCATAAACAAGAGACCATGAGGATTCACACATCGTTGCATCACGCACCTGCAGTGCTTCTGTGAATGGAGAAAAACAGAAATTAAATCTATAAAAGGAATAAAATAAATAGGACTAAACTAAATATTTCTCTTAACAAAAGGATAAAAAAAAACCTATGACAACTATAGGCTACGCTTGTTTTTGTGACGCTTTTGTGTCTCTTCACTTTTACAATTTTTATTTTCTTTATATCTTTTCTTGATTTAATCCATCTGATCGCACTGGCGCCACACACACACACACACACACACACACACACACACACACACACACACACAACATTAGCTCTAGCGTTGCTTGACTTTTCAGCCATTCATCATCAAACTAAAATGCAGTCAACCAAACATAAAAGTTAGTGTTTAGTTAGTTAGTATTACAGAACAAGAATGACAAAATAAGCAGCTGTAAAATTATATCCTCCTGACTACCATGAAAAAACCGTTTTGTGAATTTAGTATTTTGTCATGTCATTACATTGTTTAGAGCATAATAAATAAAAAAAAAGGAAAATTATATTTTGTTCATATGTTATGCTATGTCCTCTGTAGAGGACACCAAAATAAAATGGCATGAATAGACATAAAAAGTCAAAAACAATGGGATTTTTTTTTTTTAAATCACCAATCAATTTTAAGGTTTCAGGATTTTTTTTTTTAAACCAAACTTTGTATAAAGATGATTCTCACCTGT